TGCTGGGAGACACTGCATCTAGGCAGGGCACAGGTGTGTGTGAGATGGCTCTCTGTCCCTCCAGCCACTGGAACAACACAGGGACTGTCCACCAGAAGGCAGTGCTGGAAGCAAGGAAGAGCTCCACATATATATAGGTCTGCCCTGAATCCCACTGTGGATTACAGGGGCTCTGCTCTGCTCTTCCCCGACTTCCTCAGCACAGCCCCATCTGGTCATTCTGTAGATAAAATCCCTTAGGGCTCTGCCTGCCCTAGGGCTCCACACCTGAGACACAGACCAAAGTGAAAACACAGATAAAAAACATGTTTTCCACGGTTTAATTTAATTGGAGAAGTGAGTTGCCTTGGGCTCTTTGTTCTGGGAAGAATCCCTATGGAATCACATGGAGAGCAGCAACTTTTTGTGGATTAGCCAAGAAACTTGGAGACAGGAATTCATGGGACTATGGAAGGATATGTGAAGAGAGAAGGGCACGATGGTCATAGATTCACAGAATGTCCCCCATCGGGGTCACTGAATTTTATATGGAGACATTGCTAGGTTACTACGTTTTCCGGTGTGTGTTCACAACAACAAAAATTAAAACCATTTAAAAAAATATATCTCAGGGTCATTTCTGTCACTCTGGGATCCAGCAATGTCATGACAAATGGGGGAGAGCAGAGCTCTGCAAATACCTCCTGCTGCTTCTGCCTCTTCATCGTGGGTAACGCAGATTTCACCGCAATGAGCGCAGTGGTGTGGAATCAGAAGAGCCAGTGTGGCCCTCAGTCAAAGGTCTCCTTGAGATCCTTTGTGGTGCTGGGGAGGAGGGCACTGCAGTGACCAGAGATATCACAGGATGTGCTTTATCAGAGCATGGATGAGCCCTGCCTCCAGCCTCACCCACAGGTCTCTGGAATATGGTCTGAAGAATGGGTTGTGTGGTCACTCAGGAAATGACCTTTCTCTATCCTATTTTCCATCAGTTTGGCAATTGAAGAAGTAAAATTGTTTATATGCATATAAAGTTAATTCTAGCGTATATTCCCTAGGAGGACCTAGAGAGTGCAAGGGGGTAACGCTCAGCCCCTACTCCAATGGTAAGCAGTTCACATAACCCAGGAGCACCTCAGAAGAAAGGCCTGGTGATCACAGTCACGGAGAACCCTATGGAGCAGTAACACCTGGCGTGTTTCCATCAGAAGGCTTTGAACGAGGAGCAAAAAAGGAAAGCGATTTTACTGGATAAATTTCAGATTAATATATCACAAGCAATCATGCTCTCTCTGAAGCCCAAAACTTCCTAGACCCTGAGGACCTCGTATCTAGGCCCAGCTCCATGGAGGCAATTTATGGAGCCCTGGTAGGGCTTGCCCATCCTTCATGCCCCCCTCCCAGTGACCCTCGGATTTCCAAAGACCCTTCTAATCTTGGTTTTTCGCAGTTCCTGACCCCACAGCTCAGGTCTAAAAGAAGAGGAACTCAGTATACAGTCCACATGACTCCATTCTCATAATGAGTCCTATGCCAGGTGCCATTTGCTGAGATAAGTCAGGGGCAGGGGCAGGGGCAGGACTGCAGACTGTAGATTGCTTCATGCTGGGGAGTTAAAGAGTCACGCTACACCTGGAGTAGAGTGTTGGGATGGCACAGCTGTTAAGCACTTTTGCTGCTAACCACTAGGTAGGATACCATTCAATACATCAATTTTATCACAGTGAGGAAATGTTCCCAAAATGCCTAGAAGATTTAACACATCATCTCCTCTGGAAGAACATGTTCGATGTAGTGTTCTGAATATTTAAATAAGCTTCACAGTCATTCTTACATCAGTTAAAATAGGTATTCCTTTGTGGTTGTGAGGTTCTACATTCATTAAATTGAAATAGTCTGAGCAAGAACACAACTGATCCAACTCTTTGCTAATGGTGGAAATCGGGACAATGACCAATTACATCTACTTACCTCGGACGTTCATCTTCTCGAGCCAGAAAAACTCAACTCACTGCTACTGAGTCCACCCAGCTCCTAATGACCCCATAAGACAGAGAAGAACTGTGCCTGTGGGTTTTCTGAGACTGTCATTCTTCACGGGAGCAAAACTCCTCATCTTTCTCCCAGGAAGCTGCTAGTAGTTCAAACTGCTGACCTTGAGGTTAGCAGGCCAGTGTGTAAGCCACTGTGTCACCAGGGCTCTCAAATTTTATATCCCAGAGCACTTCACTCTATATTCTAATCTGATACTCTGAGGAGTAAACATTTAGGAATGTTAACACCAGATCTAGGCACAGATAGGCTGAGAGGACAAGGACTGGAATAGGCAGCATGTTTCTTGTGACATTTACAGTCTCTCCCCACCGGGCGGTGGTGTGGGGAGGGGGAATCCTTTTCCAGACCTCCCACATGATCCAGTGGCACTCACTCCACTCCCTTTAATGAGGACACAATGGTGACACGCCGTAAGCAAGACCACAGAACAACCAGTGTCTTCCCCTAATGGCGTCTCCCTTTCTGTCCCCCATCAAAGCACGGGATAGATGCATCTCTCATTTTAAACTGCACAGGAAAAGAAGAAGTGCCCAGGGACAGCCAAGGATGGGTTTACAAGTGAAGGGGCAAGATGGATCTGGGGGCCCTGAGGCTCAGCCTCTGCAGTTTGAGTTTCTCCCGTCTTCACCTCTAGAGAGATTGTTATTCAACACAGAGTTCCAGTGCCCACGATGGAACGTGAAGACCCCATAGCACCACCCCCAAGAGTCAAATTAGGAAAGGTATGCAAGGCATCAGAAACTACGGATAGCATAAATAGGTTCCCAATGTTATTTGGCAAATTTCCCACTGTTGGGGGGGGGGGAATTATTCAATCTACCCTATGGCAATTTAAAAAAATTGGATACTATAGCATATAATCCAGGATAAAGTGTAACTCTACCTTTTTTAGCCCCCTTGGGTCATTTAAGCACTCCCAAGTGGGCAGTGCTGCCCAATGAGGGAAAGACTGGTATAGATGGAGGTCCTGGCAAAAGTGGACCAGGGCCTTCAGATGCCTCTAGGATATAGTCCTTTGGCCTCTTCTACCACCCTTTCCCTCATAGAAGAGACAGAGCACAGAGCTGGGCCCCGCAAAATTTATAAACCCTCACCCCCCTTTTCCCAAGAACTACCCCTTTCTCTTTGTTACTCACCATTTTCAAGGTCATGTCTCAACATCTAACTGTATGTTCTTTGTCAATCCTACAAGCCAATTAAGAAGGTAGGCAGTGATAGTAAGGCCACTAGGTAGTCAGAAGGCAGATGAAGTGTGATCCACAAAGTCTTTGGAATTCTCACTTCTGATCACATGGATAGGCAAGGTTGTCATTATCAGTCTCCAGCTGCCTAGACTGGATCTGTACTCTCCCTGGTGTGCCTGGGCCCTGGAATGGGAAAACGATGGGGAGAGAGGGGTGTTGAGTAAACAGGGTGACTGGTACTTTATGAGCCATCTTGAGATTGCTTAGCCATGTCACAGTTTATGTCACACAAAATCCAATTGGCCATAAAGTTTCTGGCAAATTAGCATGAAAGATCGGCCTGAGGGGGGTCTACTCAACCTCTAAAAGGAAGAGACTCTCTATTCATAGTTTCGGATAAATTCAAATGCAGGAATCCCTGGGGGAGATTATCTTATTAAACTTGGGGACTTACAGAGGGGCATGCACAGCACTGCTTGCTCCAGTAAGGGGATGAGGGCTGAAGAGGCAGGAAAATTTCCAAGGAAAGGTAGCTTTTCTGAGGTTCTATTGTATACAAGTAGTGAACCCTGCCAAAGAGCCCTGGTGGTGTAGTGTTTCAGCATGGAGTTGCTATTGGAAAAGGTCAGCAGTTCGAAACCACCAGCAGCTCTGCTGGTGAAATACAGGGTTTTCTATTCCTACAAAGAGTTACAGTCCTGGAAACCCACAGGACCAGTTCTCAGCCGTCCTATAGGGTCGCGCTGAGTAGCACTGACTCAATGACAGTGAGTTTTGAGTGAGTCCTGCCAG